TTCACCAAGTGGATAGAAGCTGAACCCCTAAATTGTTAACACAAACACAAACATGACATTTTCACACGGGTTACCTGTTTGTGCAAACACAAACACTCGCTTGAGAAACAGAAAGAGAAAGGTTAGCTGCCAATGGAGGGGTTTCCGTTGGAGCGAAGCGTAGAGCGGTTGAAGTTAGGATGGGGGTTTAGTTGAGGGAAAATAGCTGAAGTGAACGGGCCAGAGAGACAGAGAGGGAGACAGAGAGAGGGACACAGCTCCATACCTCATATCTAGTTCGAGAGAAGGGCTTCACTTCAGCAATGGAACCAACACAGCCTTGTAGTTCCGTTGTTGTTGGAAATCGGCCCGTTATACTGTTCCCTACAGAGCTTCGTCAATGGAACGAACCCAACAGGGGCTTCTCCCTGTTAATGGAAATCAACGGTTACACTGACTCAACCTTACACAGAGAGGAGAACAGAGAGAGATAGAGACGAAATACAGAGAGTGAGTGGGATGCAATCATGCAAATACAAGCATTAACCGGTTGCCCCGGTTTCAACTTTTTCACGATTAAACAATTAAATGGTCTTGATCAATTATTGTAATCTAACGGCTAACAATTAGGTTGCATATGGTGTGCAACCTTAAGGGGGTTGCACACTTAAACAGCACCCCCAGAAAGAAATACAATTTGCAATTTTACTTTAATTGCCTGACCTTTTTGTTATGCATAAAGTGTCTATGTTCATTGTCTGCTTTCGCGTAGTTGTATTTTTTTGTTTTTTTTGTTTTTTTTGTTTTTTTGCACACAAAAAAAATAATAAAGTTGCACACACAACGTAGGAATTTAATGAGCTCAACCATATTACAAAGAAAGATGTTTGAACCTTTGAAGTGGTATGTATTATGCCTATAGAGGTACTAGCAGTATTTTTGAGAAAAACCAACCTCGATGTCCAAGAAACTTCAAATCCAGAAAATTATGCTTTTAAAAACGTGTCGTCCTAGAACTTGTATTTTAGTATACAATAATGTTAGGAATTAAAAACTCAAACATAGGAAAATAAAAATAAAAAATTGTATATGATGTAAATTTAACTTTTGTATTATAGAACTCAAACTTAGAATCAATTTAAACAATTTTTTTTTATATATGAGTTTTTGATCTCCAATCATTACTATTTGGTGAAAGCAACAGCTCAACTTTTTGTCATTGATTTCATCTGCTTAACTTTTTGGCTTGTTAAGGATTTTAACTTTTAGTCATTCATGTCACACACACATGTATACACAAGAAACACATGCTTTTTTTTTTTTTCTTTTTCTTTTTTCTTGTTTTGGGCTTCAAGAACGAGCTATATGGATCTCAAACAGAGCTATATACATACATACAAATGAAGATGTATTTTTTACTTTTTTGTTCATAAGTTGTACAGTTTCAGATTTGAATTTCTGGGGAAAAAATATTCTTCCTATAGCTGTTGTTTTTGGCTTGTGGGTTGTTGTTGTTTTTGTTAGTTTGGGCATAGATTTCAACTGGGTAATTTTTTTTTTCTTCTTCTTCTCACTGTGATGAAGCCGAACTGAACCAAAAAATTCTTCTTCTTCTCACTGATCTCTCTCTCTCTCTCTCTCTCTCTCTATCAAAACACTTAACCGAACCAAAGATTTTTGAACACAGAAATCTGCATCAAAACTAAAAAAATTTGTGCAGATTTTTCTGCAGATATTGATGATCTTCAAGAAAAAAAATTTATGCAGATTTGAAATCTGATTTGAAAAATGTGATTTTTTTTTTTTTTTGAAGATCATGATCTAAAAATTTTTGATCTGTAAATTTGCAGATTTGCACATTTTGTTTACATGATATCAGTGACAAGAAGAAGTTTTTGGTGAAAAACGAAATTCAATTTTTTTTTTTTTATCTGAGCCGTAGATCTTCAAAGGGTCACGTGACCAAATCGTGGCCCTTGACCGGAGGACCGGAGGACCGGAGGGATCCTTTGGCTGGAGAGGATCCGGACTCACAAAAGTCACCCCAATGTGTACTGACAAAAATAACTGTGTACTAGACAAAGGTCACTCCAATGTGAAAAGGGCAAAAAAAAAGGTTGACACTTTATTTTTATTTTTTTTATTTCTCCAATCCCTTATTAATATGTATCTGTGAAATTGTGCAACAATGATAGAAATTATTAATTTTAAAATTCTAAAAAGACTACTAATGACATAATACTCAATGAAAAAAGAAAAAAAATATAACACTATGGCTAAAATATCAAATCATTTCTGGTGGGATCCACTGTCACATCATTAGTGATAGCACTAATTAGTGCTCTCACTCATTTTCTGAAATTGTGGGGTCAAAGAAAGAAGGAGTTTCTATCGTTTATAGTGAAACGTTAGTTTGGAAAATTTCCACACTTTTATAAGCTTTTTCTTTCAGCAATGATAGAGATCATTAAAAGTGGTGTTTTAAAGCAATCACTAATGTATTGGCATGTACTTTTTTTAAAAAAAACAAAAAAACAGATACAACAACACTGTATCAATGGGTGGAATCTACCGCCGCATCATTAGTGGTGGCACTAATTAATACTTTCACTCATTTTCCTTTTTCTTTTTACTACTTAGTGGTATTTTGAGAAGTTGGTAAAAAATTAATTTTTTGACTTTTTAACTTTTTTAGTGTTTTTTTACAAAAAAAACTGAATTATTTTAGACAAAAAAGTTAACTTTTTTTAAAAAGTCAAAAAAACTAACTTTTTTTTGACAACTTTCCAAAATATCCCAATCTTTTACCTTCGCCTATAAGTTATAGTTTAAAGTTACAATTTTAATTAAAAAGTTCAAAAATTATTATATTATTTTTTATTTTTTAATATATTTTTTTTGTAAAAAATTTAAAAATTATTAAACTAACTTGTTTTCAAGTGAGATATTATTTGGGATAATATAAATAAATATATTTTTTAATTTTTTATAAAATAATATACTTATAAAAAAATAAAGAAATGATGTAACTAACAAAAATAAAAAACATACTTATAAATAAGTATACTTTTTGACATTTTATAAAAAAATGTAGAAAAATAAAAAAAATGGGTAAAAAATTAAAGAAGAGATATTGATAGTGCTGATTGATTTGACCAAAATAAATATATGTATATAAGAAAAAATATACTTTTTTTAGTCCATGCCAAATAAACGCTAATAGTCAACATGGCAAACAAATCCTTAAGTTTTTTTGAGTAAGTAACAAATCCGTAAGTTGATATCACTGACCAAAGGATTTAACACACACAATATAAAAATAAAATAAAAATAATAATCATAATAAATAGTTCATAATAAAGAATAAAAATGATGGAAAAGAAAGTATAGTTCTAATGTTCACCATTTTTTATTGTGTCCTAATATTATTTATTGTCACATTTGATTATTTTATTAGAGTTCACTACTTTAAATACAGGTCTAACTAACTAAGGACATCCCAGTGAAACAATCGCGGGTGTAAATAATGTTCACTCATCCTAAAAATAAGTGAATTTACAAAATCGTTTTCGTCATTTTGTTAATGACATGTGTTATTGTTTTAGTAAATTTATTATGTATTTGGGAAAAAAGAATCTAGATAAATATTAAGAAAATAAAAAAAAAATAAATTTTATATTGTGAAGTGGATAATATTCAAAAGAATCTAATTTACACATTATTTTTTAAAAGAAAAATTACCATCCAGTTGTATTTTCACAAAATTATTATAGATTGATGAAAAAAATTTAATTATTAATATTTGTAAAATTTATTATTGATTTGAAATTATTTTTAAAATTATACATTGAATTAAAATTTTCCCCTTTTTAAATATTGTTTGGATACAAGGAAAGGAAAAGGAGAAAAGAAAATATTATTTAAATTTTTTCTCTCTCTCTCTCTTTTTTGTTTTTACTCCATTAAATTATATTTAAATCAATGATACACACACAATAAATAAATTTGAATGCATAGTGATTTGTTCCTCTTCCTCACAAATCTTTAAAAGAGTTCCCTACACCTCCTTCACACTTCCATATTCAAACTCAAAAACTTCACTTCTCTCATCTTCTACATTCCCACTCCACCATAGCTACATTTTCTTCACTACTACTCTTCATCAATGTCCACCTCCAAAACCTCTCATAAACCCGTCAATGGCTTCAAACCAAGGCCGGTTCAAACCGGCTTTTCTCTAACCAAAATACCACCACCACCACGTGAGAGAAGAGGCCGGCGGAAGCAGGCAGAGACGGGGCGGTTCCTTGGCGTCAGGCGGAGGCCTTGGGGCCGTTACGCCGCTGAAATCAGAGACCCTTCAACTAAAGAGAGGCATTGGCTTGGGACATTTGACACTGCTCATGAAGCAGCCCTTGCTTATGATAGGGCTGCCCTTTCCATTAAGGGCATCCAAGCAAAAACCAACTTTGTGTACTCACAAAACAACAACAACAACATAGCCTTTCACTCTCTTCTTAGTCCTCTTGATGTCCAAATCCAAACCCTAATGCAGTTTCAACCACCACCACCACAATTCACCACCACCACCACCACCACTCAAACTAAACAGCCCATTAATCAAAACAACTTGCTTTTCTCTACTGATACCAACTCAGGCTATTTGGATTGCATAGTTCCAGATAGTTGCTTGAAGCCACCAAACACCACTACCAACAAAGACTTGATGAATGGAAGCACTTCAGATTATGAAGAATTTTCCTGGAAAATGGGTTTTCCTGGCATCCAAACACCATGTGATGATGACACTGCTCTTCCTGTTGATGTTCCAAGTGTGGAAGACAACCTTGCAGATCTCCATCATCAACTTCCTCATTTTGATGGGCTGAGCTGTGGGTTGTGGGGAGTTGGTGAGAAGCCATGGGAGGTGGATTATTCCTTCGAACTCGCGGCGGTGATTGGCAGCCCATTGGTGGTGGAAGATGGGTGGTTGGAGAGCTTGTATCCAATCAATGACAATCAAAGTTATGGGTTAATGTATTCAGGGAATTCCTCATCTTCAATTCCTTCATTTGGTGATCTAGTTGATCACTTGGGATACTCTGCCTTCTAATCAGGGTTTTAAATATTGACTCATAAGTAACGTTTTGAGATTGATCCATATTTCGATTGGTACTGTCTAATTTCAATTGATATATGATTATTTTGCTAATATCAATATATATCTCAATATTGCTATTTAAACTGATCTTGGAGTTGAATCCAACTAAATGTTAATAGCATATGATTAAAGAATAATATTGTAACAAAACTGAAAGAATAAAACTTAAATTACTCATATTAAAATTATATGAACTGTGAGAATTATGTAATTTATCTTAAGGAAAATGAAAGAGTAATGATATGAGTCATCAGGTTTGTGTATTTCAAATCAAAAAAATAAAAATAAAATTATATTTGAGTTTTTAGACTCCCAAAAATAATTATATTTATTATTTGATAAATTCATTTTTTTATTAAAAAACAATATTAAAATTTTACGATTTCACCCTAACATATAGGTTTGGTTTGGGAAGTGGGTTGACTTTTTGACTTTTTGGTTTTTTTGGCTATTTTATCCTGGGCTAAAAAGTTTGGTTTGGGAAGGACTTTTTGACTTTTTGGCTTTTTTGACTTTTTTTTGTGAGAGAAGAGTGTAATGATTATGGGTTGGATGTGATGTTTTGTTTGCTGTGGCTAAAATAGCCTATTTTTTCTTTTATGGCTAAAATAGCCAAAAAAGCCTCAAATCTTGCTTTCCAAACGGTGCCTAGGGTTTTAGAAATCAAATATTTTAATCTCTAAAAGTGGAAATTTTGTTGCAAAGGACATTTAGGGAACAATTTTCATCGTCATGAGGATAGTCGCTAAAATGTCGTCTCATAAAGTCAAAAATAAGACTTTTAGTGACAATTTTGAAAATGCCACTAATAAATAGACTTTTAGGGATAAAATAAATTGGTCTCAAAATGATTTATTTTTTGAGACAAAAAATTTAGTCTCAAAAGGATAATAATTCATCACTAATGTCCAATTTTCGTAGCTAAGAATATAATAACGATAATTTTCGCAACAATAATATTTGGTGCCAAAAAATTAATTTTGTCCCTAAATTTTTGGTCTCTCAAACTTTAATTTTTTGTAGTGTTTACTTGTTTTTGATTTTCCAAAAACACTTTTCAAAAAATTATACTTTCTCATTTTCCATGATTTTTTTTTACTGAATTTTTTTTATTTATTAAGCAATTTTTTTTTTAATTTTTAGATACACTTAACATAAATACACATAAAATGTATAATTTTTGTGAAAAAATCTTTTAAAAATTTACTAAATACCAAAAATATATAATAAAAAAACGATAATTTAGTATATTTTTCATATTTTTATGTATTTATTAATTTTTTAAAATATTTTTTTACAGATTTTTTACTTTTTAGATACATCTAAGTAAAGTGCATCAAAAAAATTTAAAAAATGCTTAAAATTTAAAAAATATTTACCAAAAATAAAAATATATAAAAAATAAAAAATTTAATCCAAAAAACTCCAACCAAACCCACAATATTTTGTGTGATTCATTAGGTGGTGTTTGGCAAGTGGTTTTGGGACTAAAATAGCCACAAAAGATAAAATAGGCTATTTTAACCACAACAAACAAAGCATCACATCTAACTCATAATCATTACACTATTCTCTCACAAAAAAAGTCAAAAAAGTCAAAAAGCTAAAAAGTCCTTCCCAAACCAAACTTTTTAGTCCAAGCTAAAACAGCTAAAAAAATTAAAAAGTCAAAAAGCCAACTCACTTTTCCAACGGAGGCTAAATGACGTGGTTAGTGCACACCATTTATGATACCAAATGTAATTAAATTTAGAGATCTGATTCGTAGCTCAAATTCAGAAACTCGAATTTGGTCCCAATTTTGCAGTATTTTTTGTCAATTAATAGGAAATAGTTTACAAATTCATCCCTAATCTGCCGATTAGGAGTATGAGGCAAATACCAATTGGTGGTTGGATTTGTCAAGGAGGTTTGAGGCTATTTTAGTCATAAAAGATAAAATAGGCTGTTTTAGCCACAACAAACAAAGCATCACATCTAACTCATAATCATTACACTATTCTCTCACAAAAAAAGTCAAAAAAGTCAAAAAGCTAAAAAGTCCTTCCCAAACCAAACTTTTTAGTCCAAGCTAAAACAGCTAAAAAAATTAAAAAGTCAAAAAGCCAACTCACTTTTCCAACGGAGGCTAAATGACGTGGTTAGTGCACACCATTTATGATACCAAATGTAATTAAATTTAGAGATCTGATTCGTAGCTCAAATTCAGAGGCTCGAATTTGGCCCCAATTCGGAGAAGAGGAAGAAGAAGGAAGAAGAAGAAGAGAAGAAGGAGAAGAATAACTAGATTGGAGGGGGCCATCAAAATCGGAGGCGGAGGCGGCGGCGGGCGGAGGCCGGGCTTAGCGACGAGCTACGACGCCGACGAGCTGTGTTCAACGACGCCGACGAGCTGTGTCCAACGAGCTCTGTTTCTCTCTCGCCTCTGCTCTGCTCTCTCTCGCCTGTGTTCAACGAAGAAGAAGAAGAAAAGAAATAAAGAAAAGGAAGAGAAAGAAAAAGAAGAAGAAAAAAAAGGCAAAACGACGTCGTTTTGTCATTCGAGCCAAAATCGAGCCACGAATTTCGAGCTACCAGTCATTTTTCTTAAATTTATTATTTGAAAAACCCGTCTTGAGGATCATTAAAGGACGTGGTTAGTGTCCCTTCAGACACCATCATCTATTCAATAATGCTAAAAATTAAGAATTCAGACACAGAACAAATAAAAAAAAGACTAATGCTTAATGCATTAATTAGTGTGTTAATTAGGGGTGTTTTGGAAAGTTGATAAAAAATTCGCTTTTGGCTTTTTACCAAGCTTTTTAGCTTTTTGAAAAGTGATTTGGGAAGTTGGTAAAAAGTTGACTTTTGACTTTTTATTTTAATATTTGTTTATGGTGTCAAATCAAATTAAAATGACGAAAATACCCTTATCTAACATAAGAAAGTTATTTTTTTATTTTTTTTGTCATAGGGCCTAATTTGTAATTTCACACTTGCGTTTTTGGCACTTCCCAAACCAATTTTGTTGCGTTTTTGCCACTTGCGTTTTTGGACATGTTCACAAAAACGTGGCTTTTTATTTTGGTTCCATAAACGGCATTTAGTGTATCAATTGATGATATGATATACTTTAAAATATTTTTGACATTTGTAATTTGTATAATGAGTGAGGTCAATAATAATGTTATAACTAGTGTTGGTACACTAGTTAGTGCACTAATTGGTGCACATAGCACCACTCATCAAAAAAAGAAAAATAATACTATATGCACCAATTAGTGTACTAACTAGTATACTAATTGATGATGTGGCATAATTGAAGTTTTTGATATTTGTAATTTATATAATAAGTGGAGTCAATAATATTGTCATAATTAGTGTTGATATACTAATTAATACATGTAACATTACTGGAAAAAAAATAGTTTGTAATTTAAATTCAACTTTTGTATAACAGAACCTACACTTAAATCACAGATTATTTTTCTTAATAATATTCTTGGTCCACACCATCCTATGATACCAAAATGTAACTAACTTCATTATCTTATAAACCCACCATGTGGTTATTAAATAATACCAAAATTTGGCACCCAACAATAATACTACCCATGACATCAAAAATTTATATATCATGGGTAAAAATTTATTATTCTATCATATTTATATCTTAATAATGATTTCATAATAATGGTTTTCACACATGACCCATTGTAATAATGGTTGTATAAAAATATTGTTCACACAGGACCATTATACTGCATATTTTTTCACTTCATATGTTGCTAGTGTAATAACGATTACATAATGACGTGGTTCACATCGGGCATTAAATGCAAAGCGAATCCTATACATATGTATTTTTTTAAGGGAATTTGTTTTAAGATTTATGGTATTAAGATTTTATAATATAAAGGATAATAAATATTTTTATGATGTCTAAGGTTTCTTAATATCGATTCAGAGAAATTTCAGTACTAGAGAAATTCTCTCAAGAGAAAATTAAAATTCTCTCCAGATAAATTCTTTGGGTTCAAACCAGAGAAAATTGAAATTTCTTTGAGTACCAAAGAAATTTAGAGAAAATTATGCAGTGAAAATTTGTGTGGCTATCCAAGAAAATTCTCTGACTTCACAAATTTCTTTGGCTCTATTCACAAAGAATTTATCTGACTTTGTGCAATATGTAAGCCAACAATACAATTTTTACTAACAAACTCACAAATTTCTCTGGTCCAAAACCAGAGAAATTCTCTCCAAACCAAACAGATCAAAGAAATTCTTTGGATTGAAACCACAAATTTCCTACTGTAAACCCATAAATTTCTCTGACCTTCCCTAGACTTCCCACTGTAAATTTCTCTAGCCTTTCCTTCTCTCCAGAGAAATTTTTTTCTCTACCTTTCTTATACTTCCCACTCTCCAAAATTTCTTTGGCCTTCATCTCTAGAGAAATTTAATAATGTTTAAGGTCTAAGGTCTCTCAAATTGATTCAAAGAAAATTCGACTTCACAGAGAAATTCTGGGACTTTCCAGAGAAAATTTGAAAATTTCTCTAACCAATTGTTTTCTTTGCCTTCCATATAATTCCCACTCTCTAAAGAAATTTGAAAATTTCTCTGGCTTTGCTGGCCTTCCCACAAAATTACCTCTCTAGAGAAATTTTACCCTGGCCTTTCTTAGACCCTCCACCTTCTCTCTCTATAACTCCCTTCGGCTAGACTCTATGGAACATTCCCAAGAGAGCTCGGTGAGCTCTTAAACCTCCAAAGCCTCTATCTCAATGTCACAACACTCTCTAGAACCATCCCTCTCAAGCTCGGCTACAGCTCTTCTCTCTCCGACATTGATTTGGGCAACAATTTGATCAATGGGTCACTCCCCACATTGATCTGGGACCTCTGTGATTGACATGTTTCGCTTCAACATTGTCAATGGTATCAGAACTACAATCACAGAGGTTGTA